GGGGGGTACTGATCACTGTGCAGCACGGCCCCGCCCCGCGGTAAGGGCACCGCGCCTCGTGTGGGAGCCGCCACACCCGCCCTCCCCGCAGGCCAGCTGGCGGGGGCGTGCTGGGGCGGACTCACCTTTCCGAAGTGGTAAACGCACCAGCTTGTCCAGTGCCGCGGGGCGCACGTAACGCTGCTCTCAGCAGCGCTGAGCCTGCCCGGCCACTGCGGTGTGGAGCCCAATAGAAAAACAAAACGCATCAAATGCGACCTAGGTAAAGGGGAAATCCAGGACACAAGGACACAGCGGAAGAATGCAAGAAACCGATCATCCCCATGCAAAGAGTCACTTACAGCCTAGGTTCAGCCCCGAAACAAAAAAACCTGATGGGCCTGTTTTGCTTTGAACAAAACATAATATTCAAGGGTATGTTTTATTCCGCTTTTTCCATGCACACTTATATGCTTGTTTCAAATGGTGTAAATTACCATTTGAGACCTCGTACTAAGGATATTAAATATCAATTCATTTACTAGTTGAGTAGTCAATAGAATTTCCATTAACTACTGGACTAGTCACTAGGCACTTCCACATTCCTTTTCTGAAATGTACAAAAACCCCAGTGGGGGCTCTTGTGCATTTTAAAGCAGAAGCACCCACATGGAGCCGGAGGTCAGTCCCCTGCTGACCCCCAGGCTCGATGCGATGCAATCGCTTTGAAATGCCGTGCAGAGGCCAGGGTCAGGGGAGGACTCCCCAGCTGACTCCAAGTTACACAGAAATACCACACAGAGCCCGGAGTCAGAGAGTCCCCAGCAGACCACAGGCTCCATACATCATTGTGAAGTACTTCCTGTTCGCTCCCCCCTCTTTGCTGCATCTATGATAGAAGCAGAAGGGGGGAGGGGAGCGCGACTAGTCAACTTACTGGATGCTTAGCGGACAGTTGACTAGTCCTTAACATCCTTACTTGGTAGTGTAATGGAGCCCTATTGATTTCTGCACTCCATCCACTTGGTGCCCCACAAGAGGTCAGGGCCTTATTGCTTCAGCCAGTAGTCAGCAACAATAACTTCGTCCACCTAGAAATACTGCATAACATTTTTCTAAATGATGGGGTGATGGCACCCAGTTCTACCCTTACACAGGAAGTAAAGCTAATAGAAAGAATAAGAGAAACAAGTGGTGGTTAAAGACAAAGGAAATGCTGAGAATAAATTTGCATTAGATCCAGGAGATCCACTGTAGTTCAGTTACAGAAATAGAAAATCTACCCCTGCAATGTAAGATTTATTGAATGCAAACCATGTACCAAAATGAAATAGACATCTCCGCTCTTTGTCTCCCTGTCATTGATCCAATAAATGCAAAACCACAAACTGCAGAAATCACCAACACCATCTCCCAGAAAATCTAGCACAGAATAGGAGATACTCATCATTAATACTTCTGTATACAGCTGGCACTTGACAGACCTCAATGCCTTGAATGGCCTCTGTATTTGTCCTCCTTATGGAATACAGCCACCAGGAACAGCTTGGACAGTAGCCGTTTAACAAGAGAAGGTAGGGTGGTCAACTGGTTAGCTAAGGTGTTTGTACACAAATGCGAGAAGCATAGGAAACAAACAGGAAGAGTTAGAAGCCCTGACCCAGTCAAAGAACTATGATTTGTTTGAAATAACAGAGACTTGGTGGGATGACTTGCATGATTGGAGCACTGTCATGGAAGGGCATAAACTGTTCAGAAAGAACACGCAGGGGAGAAAAGGAGGAGGAGTTGCATTGTATATAAGAGAGCAGTATGACTGCTTGGAGCTCCAATATTTAGAGGGAGAAAACCCTGTTGAGAGTCTATGGGTTAAGTTTAGAGGTGTAAGCAACAGGGGTGATGTTGTGTTTGCTGTCTGCTATAGACCGCCGGATCAGGTGGATGAGGTAGCCAAGGCTTTCTTCGGACAACTCAGAGAAGCTTCCAGATCGCAGGCCCTGGTTCTCATGGGGGATTTTAATCACCCCGACATCTGTTGGGAGACCAATATGGCAGTACACAGACAATCCCGGAAGTTTTTGAAGAATGTTGGGGATAACTTCTTGGTACAAGTGCTGAAGAAACTGACCAGGGGCCATGCGCAGCTCACAAACAGGGAGGAACTAGTAGGGGAAATAGAGGTGGGTGACAACCTAGGAAGCAGTGATCATGAGATGGTAGATTTCAGGATCCTGATCAAAGGAAGAAAGGAGTGTAGCAAAATACACACCCTGGACTTCAGAAGAGCAGACTTTGATTCCCTCAGAGAACTGATGGGTAAGATTCCCTGGGATGCTTACATGAAGGGAAAGTTGTCCAGGAGAGCTGGCAGTATTTTAAAGAAGCCTTATTAAAGACACAGGAAGAAACCATCCCAATGTGCAGCAAGAAAAACAAATTTGGTAGGCGATCAGATTGGCTTACCTTGGATGTCCTTGGTGAGCTTAAACACAAAAAGGAAGCTTACAAGAAGTGGAAACTTGGACAGATGACTAGGGAGGAGTATAAATATATTGCTTGAGAATGCAGGGGAGTTATCAGGAAGGCGAAAGCGCAATTGGAATTACAGCTAGCAAGGGATATGAAGGATAACAAGAAAGGTTTCTACAGGCATGTTAGCAATAAGACGGTGATCAGAGAGGGTGTGGGCCCTTACTGGATGAGGGAGGTAACCTAGTGACAGAAAAGCTGGGAGAAAAGCTGAAGTACTCAATGCTTTCTTTGCCTCTGTCTTCAAGGACGAGGTCAGCTCCCAGACAAATGCACTAGGCAACGCAGCATGGGAAGGAGGTGGACAGTTAGGAACTATTTAGAACAAGTTAGGAACTATTTAGAAAAGCTAAACATACACAAATCCATGAGCCCGGATTTAATGCATCCAAGAGTACTGAGGGAGTTGGCAAATGTCATTGCGGAGCCTTTGGCCATTATCTTTGAAAACTTGTGGAGATCGGGGGAGATCCTGTCTGATTGGAAAAAGGCAAATGTAGTGCCCATCTTTAAAAAAAGGGAAGAAGGATGATCCAAGGAACTACAGACCGGTCAGCCTTAACTCAGTCCCCAGAAAAATCATGGAGGGGATCCGCAAGGAATCCATTTTGAAGCACTTGGAAGAGTGGAAAGTGATCAAGAATAGTCAACATGGATTCACAAAGGACAAGTTGTGCCTGACCAATCTGATTAGCTTCTATGGTGAGGTAACTGACTCTGTGGATATGGGAAAGTCAGTGGATGTGATATACCTTGACTTTAGCAAAGCTTTTGATATGGTCTCCCACAATATTCTTGCCAGCAAGTTAAGGGAATATGGATTGGATAAA